AGCACGGCTCGTCAGCTGGAGCCGGTCATGGTACAGGCCAGCAGACGTGCCGTGCTAAACAAGAAATAAACTATTTTTGACAGTGGCGAAGGAAGACAACTTAAATTTTAACTTTTGAGTATCATCTACACGACATCTTTAATAATTTCACCATTTTTAGCCGACTTTTCGTGTTATTGCCGCGGCACCCCTGGCATACGCCCAAGACACCCCAGGGTGCCTCGGCACCCAGTTTGAAAACCGCTGCCCGACCCGATGACGTCAGCAGCACTCCCGTTAGGTACAGGACATTGAATGTGCATCGGCTACCAAAGCACACACGGCTGGCGAACTGGCTTGAGAAAGAGATACTTTGAGGCGTGTAGCGAAAAGAGCGACGCCCTGTGAGGACAAGATGGTTGACTGCTTGATTGATCGTATAATTAAAATTTCTTTTTAATAAACTCTTTTAAACAGATAATATCATCGGACATGTTATCTTCGATCTCCACCCCCTAGAAAAAAACATTAGCCAGGACTCGAATAAAATGACTAAACCTCTCAAGTCTATAAACCTTTTTTGTTATCTCTGCTACTACATGGCTTCAACTCAATCCTGTTTATCTCTACACCGGGGTCCGTCACAAGTGCAGAGATCAGTGTGACGGGTAACTATTATGTTCTCTCGAGACTGAAACTGTGTTTCATGGACATGGCCTGGAGCCACGTTAGTGTATTGGCTTGACAGTTTCTTGACATTCTGAAGGTACTGTGTTCGATTTCGCACCAGGTTGCGTGGCTCTGTAAAACCAGAAGAGGTTGGACTAAGTCATCACCCTTCACAAATTCTAAATTTAGCACGGGATAATTGAAATTTAAAATATACCCAAAGTATTTCAAGATCCTCGCGGTGCTACGGAGTTCGTGCACTGCGCTGAGATTCTTCAGACTTAGGCTTGAGTCGGAAGTAGAACGGGGCACTTATGGGTTACCCCTTGTGCCATGATGTTGATCAGTTGTTAAAACCTTAAATCTAGTCACCCTTCACGTCCAAGACGAGTCCAAGCTCTGTATGCCCAATATGCATGAAGGCATGAAAATTGTCCTTTTTACACAAGTGGGAAATAGTGAGTTTGTCTCTTTTCAGATACTTAATATTTATGTCTGTTAAATACTTCTGGTTATTTATTATTGCGTGGATTATAGTATACGAAATTACAAGATTGTGATAAGTGGTGTGAAACATTATAGAGTTGAAAAAACAACTGTTTTATACTCATTTATAAGCTGCTCTTGCTTTATTCTGTGCTTCTCCTTATTAACATAACTAGGTCCTTCTGTATATAAATAGAGAAGGAAGTGACATAGTATAACTGCTTTAGCGGTACCCGGGTCTGCGGCACCAACAACTTGGTGGTAAATGGACGACGCGATCGCACACAAATGACACTCATCAACTGATACAGGTACACGCCCTCCTGTGGCGTCTGTGTCGCCAGGAGTGACGGTGCAAACTGTCCCAGGAAGTACTCCTCACTTGACCTCCTGTCTGCGCAACTGCAGGCTTCCTTAACAACCGAGTCAAAATGATGTTATGTCTAAGAATTTCTATAGTTGTTGTAGGATAATTTTTTTGCAATAAAGACTGCAGGTAAGACTACATATATATTTTAATCTTTTAATCGACCTGTTTGCTTCGGTGGCATTATGTAACAATATAATACATCGACTATTCTGGTTTTCCACAAGAATCGAGCACTGAAACAATCAAAAATTTTCGCTTATTTATATATTTATTTTGCTTGCTAAAGAGGAATTGAATTTACTTCAACTGTTTGGGGTGCACCCAACAAAAATAAGACAGTTTTTTTTTTTTTTAAATTCAGAAAAACAGTTTATGTTGAAAATAAAACCAGAACAACACCGGGTACTGAATTGAAAAATAACATGTTATAATTTAGACGTCTGTATATATAATATACAGACGTCTAACTAACATTAGTAACATGTTATGAGTTAAGTACTATATATTTATAAAGAAACAGAAAATGTATTGATTGGTACTTATAGAAGGAAGTAGAAATATAGAAGAACACACTAGGCAACATAAAAATCGAAAGCTATAGTTACCGTGCCGGAAATAAAACCTGTCACCTCCAGACGGCGTGTGCGCCTTGCTGTGGAAACAAGTGCACTAAAAACATGGTCAACATCATAGCAATCAGGACACTCCCATAAGTAGATCGCTTCGTCTCTATCTTCAGCAACAAGTGCAGGGTTCTAACCTGGATGATACCAAATCATCGACCTGATCTCCTGGTCACTCCTCGCTGTGCCGTTCTCTTTAGACTGATGATCTGTGTGCCTCCACACTGTATATTCACTCCTAAAAAACTGTTATAACAAGCTTGTCATTCATCAGTTCATCACCAAGTGGCATAGAATTCCATCCTGCCAAAGTGCCATCACTATATTATCAACTGGTACCATCAGAACTACAATTCTGCACTGGCTGCTGAAGTTAGGAATAGACTACTTATGGGAAGCCATTTCCAGTTATTCTGTTTAGATTTGTTTGTTTTATTTGTGTCACATTATTTTTACTATACTATTATTATTTACTGGCCAGGACATTATTATTACAGTGACCAATATTGTGCCAACAATATCAGACTTGAATCCTGGCTAAATTGAATGAGTGGAAACAAAGTGATGAGTTGTCATTAAAAAGTTGTTGGTGTAACAAAAATAGACATCATTAAAAAATAAAATATTAGAATAAGATTGGAACCAGTCAAACAATTTATTTAAAAAATAACAGATTTGATGGTTTAGTAACCAGTCAGAAATGGCAGTCTTGGATCAGGTCTGTGTTCTTTTGGTGACTATAGCTGGCTTCAAGTGATGGCATCTACATGTGTTTATACGGTTTCCAAAAACCCATGTGACACTAAAATGTAGTAGTGATGAACACTTTTTGTCTCATGATCGGGGTAGATCCAACACCAGAAAGTGTTAATTCTTTCTGTCACAGACAACCACTATACTTGACTGGGTATTATTAATGTGTAGAGAAATCATCACATTATTTATGTTGTTAACATCTTATGTGTAATGAGCCAGCCTGAAAAACATGGAAAAATATTTCTTTCCTGCAAGCTTTGTATGTTTATTTGGCCCCTCTTGAAGCAGTATACCCATGAGTTTAGTATTGCTTTTCTTAACTCCATTAGCTAGGACCTAGTGGAACTGAAAGAGTTTACTGTAACTTTAAATAGACTGACAAATTCTCACAAGGGAGCTCTTCTGATGATCTGAAGCCTTTGGTTGTTCCTGCTCACACACTGAGTTCTTGCTGTTTATTTTATTTGATAACTGCCGCAAGAGTTGTGCTTTAGAACAGTATGTAACAGGGAGGGCTGTGGCCATCTGGTGGACAGTAAAAAGGTCCCAGTGGGTCGCGAAAATGTTGGCATAATTATGGAGCAGGGTAGTGCAGGCAGTTTTTCTCTTCTATGACTTCAGTCTTAATACATTAAAGATGAATTACAAAACACGTTCAAATCCCCGAAACCCCATTCAGCTGCATAGACTTTCTAACCTCTGCGCAGCAGCAGCTGTTGCATTAGCTGAAAACTGTAATTTTGTGTCATCATATTTTAAACTCTTACTGCTATCTGCATTTGTTCTTGTTTCTGGGTTTGGTTAGCTGTCAGGTGGGCCATGAAAGAAGTTTCCGTTTTCTGCTGGGCTACGGGTGTAAGAAGGTTGGAAAAACACTGCTTTAGAAGACTACATATGGTGGACCTGTGTCTGAACTCGCACTCTTATTCACAAAATATTGCACAGGAACTAACAGCTGCAAGTGGTCACATATGTAACTGTATATGTTCTAGAAGCAACAACTCTCTGTCGTCCACCCCCCCCCCCCCCCCCAACCCTCAACTCTTTTTTTTCCACACACACAAACACCCACCCACACCCGCATGCACACACACACACACGCACACACACACACACACAAAGTAATTTTCTATTCCCTGACAGAAAACTGCTACCTTATCTGGTCGTTGACTTAATCAATAATTCAATGTTTCTGCTCTCTGCTGTGGCAAGTAGGTTATTTTAAGTTACTGTTTACTGCGTCCACAGCTTCGTCAGAATTGTTAACTCATGAAGTTTTTCTTACTATGGATGCCTTTTAACTTTTGATGGAGCATAGGTCCTCAATCAACTCATGCCTAATGAAATGATCACGAACCTTGCATATTAATTCATAGTGTTTTGATTATTACCTTAACCTTTCTGTCCTATTTACTTATTGCTGTAACTTCCTCTACTTTTATTACAGGTGTAATGTTATCTTGGCTAAAACGTAAACTCTTTCTCAGCTTTAACTTTAACTTTATGTCATCTACATCTCTACTTTTATCTCAGCTATTACTTCAACTTTATTTCAGCTATTACTTCAACTTTATCTCAGCTTTCAATTTATCATTATCTCAGCTGTAATATTAACTTTATCTCAGCTATTCCAATCATTTTATCTCAGCTGTTACTTTATCTCAGCTATTCCAATCATTTTATCTCAGCTGTTACTTTATCTCAGCTATTCCAATCATTTTATCTCAGCTGTTACTTTATCTCAGCTATTCCAATCATTTTATCTCAGCTGTTACTTTATCTCAGCTATTCCAATCACTTTATCTCAGCTGTTACTTTATCTCAGCTATTCCAATCATTTTATCTCAGCTGTTACTTTTTCTCAGCTATTCCAATCATTTTATCTCAGCTGTTACTTTATCTCAGCTATTACTTTAGTTTTACCTCATTATCAGTTTAACTTAAGCTTAACGTGATTTACTTTGTTTTCTGAGCTAAGCATGATTTACTTTGTTTTCTGAGCTAAGCATGATTTACTTTGTTTTCTGAGCTAAGCATGATTTACTTTGTTTTCTGAGCTAAGCATGATTTACTTTGTTTTCTATCTCCAAGAGAGTAGCTAGACTAAAGGATCCATTATGGAATATCTAGGGCAGACCCAGACTGCTACTTATTTGTCTGGCCCCACTCAGTTTAGCCAGTTACCTGTAATCAACACCACACAAAATAAAAGCTACGATAATTACGCAGCACAGCCTGCCTTCAGACGTTCTCTGACAGCTATGCCATGGAGACCTAGTGCCTACTACCAGTCAGGAAAGGTAAAATAAAGTGTTTTGTGTGTGTGCATGTGTTGTTCTTGTTGTCATTTGGCTCTTGTGTTGACGAAGCTGAAATATTTAGGTCATATCAAGTGCCACAGCGAATTGGAAAAAAATAATAGCAGAAGGTATTATCCAGGAAGGAGGAGCAGTGAGCAGTAGCTGACCAACATGAAGTTGGGCACAGGATATAAGTGACTCCTTGAATAGGAAATTGCAAGAGGTGAGAGAGCTGGTAAGAGAAAGAGTTTATTTTGGACAGTTTGATGGGAGCAATGTTCTGCAAAGGATAGTGAAGAAATTTTGTTGACAAGTGAAATATGATCACTCCATGAAAAATATAGCACAGTTATGCATGCAGGCTATAAGAAAAAGTTAGTTGTGTATCTCTTAAAGGACATTGCAGAACCAACCCCAGCAATTTTTGGCTGTTTGTGATATTAAAAGTCAATTTCATGTTCACTTGTTTGCCATTGCTGTCTTAATGGTCGGCTTCAACACTAATGTCAAAATCAGTGCAAAGCAATCTGCTGCTAGTCACCTGCAGCTGAAATTGAATCAAGTATTACCATATTGTTGAGTGTGGTTGCAACCACTAAGCCACAGGAGCTGGCTCAACTGTAGTCTTATGCCTTTATATTGTTTTGGCCCGTCTGGAGTCGCCATGGCCAAGTGGTAAGCCATTTGCCTCATGCTTTAAACATCAGATACATTACAAGGACTACATCATTCAGTTCACATTTGCCATGTTTATGGAGATCCCTAGGGATTGTCTCTGGAGCTGTAAAGTGTGTGAAGTGCTCCATGCAGCACTTTCAGCAGGCAGCTAGTCCTTCCGCATAAGTAGACCAAGTAACCCAGTGCAGTGCATTCGATTCTCTTGATTTCAAGTTTGATTTTAAACTTTAAACTTCATTCTTTAGGTCACAAGATAAGGAGGTGGAGTAGCTTTCCATATCACCTTTCCTACCAAAACAGTTCCCTAAAAATTGTCTGATACCTATTTGTATTAGTGTTTGTCAACCTCAGAGCCTTACTGGTTAAAAAAATATATATATAATCCTGCCACTGCAAGGAATCAAAGCCAGATCGCTGTCTTGGGCAGGCAAATTAATTATGCAAAACCTTCATAAGGCTGGTCTATCACCACTGTCTTGGCAGGTAAATGGATCAAGCAAAACCTTCATAAAGCTGGTCTATCATCACTGTCTTGGCAGGCAAATAGAACCTTCATAAAGCTGGTCTATCATCACTGTCTTGGCAGGCAAATAGAACCTTCATAAAGCTGGTCTATCATCACTGTCTTGGCAGGCAAAAGAACCTTCATAAAGCTGGTCTATCACCACTGTCTTGGCAGGCAAATGGATCAAGCAAAACCTTCATAAAGCTGGTCTGTCATCACTGTCTTGGCAGGCAAATAGAACCTTCTTAAAGCTGGTCTATCATCACTGTCTTGGCAGGCAAATGGATCAAACAAAACCTTCATAAAGCTGGTCGATCATCACTGTCTTGGCAGGCAAATAGAACCTTCATAAAGCTGGTCTATCATCACTGTCTTGGCAGGCAAATGGATCAAACAAAACCTTCATAAAGCTGGTCTGTCATCACTGTCTTGGCAGTCAAATGGATCAGACAAAACCTTCATAAAGCTGGTCTATCATCACTTTCTTGGCAGGCAAATGGATCAGACAAAATCTTCATAAAGCTGGTCTATCATCACTGTCTTGGCAGGCAAATGGATCAAGCAAAACCTTCATAAAGCTGGTCTATCATCACTGTCTTGGCAGGCAAATGGATCAAGCAAAACCTTCATAAAGCTGGTCTGTCATCACTGTCTTGTCAGGCAAATGGATCAGACAAAACCTTCATAAAACTGGTCTATCATCACTGTCTTGTCAGGAAAATGGATCAGACAAAACCTTCATAAAGCTGGTCTATCATCACTGTCTTGGCAGCCAAATGTATCAGACAAAACCTTCATAAAGCTGGTCTGTCATCACTGTCTTGGCAGGCAAATGGATCAGACAAAACCTTCGTAAAGCTGGTCTGTCATCACTGTCTTGTCAGGCAAATGGATCAGACAAAACCTTCATAAAGCTGGTCTATCATCACTGTTTTGGCAGCCAAATGTATCAGACAAAACCTTCATAAAGCTGGTCTGTCATCACTGTCTTGGCAGGCAAATGGATCAGACAAAACCTTCGTAAAGCTGGTCTATCATCACTGTCTTGGCAGCCAAATGTATCAGACAAAACCTTCATAAAGCTGGTCTATCATCACTGTCTTGGCAGGCAAATGGATCAAGCAAAACCTTCATAAAGCTGGTCTATCACCACTGTCTTGTCAGGCAAATGGATCAAGCAAAACCTTCATAAAGCTGGTCTGTCATCACTGTCTTGGCAGTCAAATGGATCAGACAAAACCTTCATAAAGCTGGTCTATCATCACTTTCTTGGCAGCCAAATGTATCAGACAAAACCTTCATAAAGCTGGTCTGTCATCACTGTCTTGGCAGTCAAATGTATCAGACAAAACCTTCATAAAGCTGGTCTGTCATCACTTTCTTGGCAGGCAAATGGATCAAGCAAAACTTTTGTAAAGCTTGTCTGTCATCACTGTAAAAAACATACATTTAAAGAGTGCACTGCCGTGGCGGCTCCAGTATAGGCTCTTTAGAACTAAAGCACCCCATATTATCATATTATATTTTAGCAAAAACCTGCCACTGGTGCATTGCCAGGGATACTATTTACTATGCATGGATTGGAATAATCTGAAAGATAACTACCAGTTAAAATACTGATTATATTCTTCATAGTCACAATTAACTCTTTATGTTTTCCTCTCAGGTCAACCCAAGCATCTCTCTGACACACAGTATGCCTACACCCTTTTCCCAGAAGATCCAGCTGACCGAGTTAGACCCTCATAGAGTTCCTCCTGTGTTTAATTCATCCAGAAATGCTCTCTACACTCGTTTTACACCATTTGACTGGATGGCATCAAATCAGAGCAACTACCTAGCTTCAGACTATGTGCGTAGTGGGGCAGAGCGCCTTCGCTTGGATACTGTTCGACTGTGCAGGTAAATTTTAAAACTCTGTGGATCCCATACAGCTTTGGCCTTTACAATGTAACTAAAAATATATTTTTTTTTAAACAGCAGTTTTCCCAGCAGTTACAGGTTTTTTTATGATCTGATGTCATTGGGCAGTGGCCACTGCACCTATATAACAGCTTTGGTACTTGTTGCAACTGCATAGTGTATAGATTCATCCATCCATCCATTTATGAGAAACAAAACCTAAAAAAATCCACTAAGTTCAACGTACTGTGAGCAGTATCAGTTATAAATGTGGTCTGGTTTCTTTTTTCCAATTATGTTGGCTAAGAAATGATAATTGCACCAAAACCAGTGGCTTGGGCCTAGTGCATAGTCTTGGTGGGTATGATTATGTTTGTCAAAACGAAATTTTTTAGATATTTTTGGTGGTTAACAAATTTTTTTTTTCTTGTACTGTTTTGTTATAATAAATTTATGATGTCACTTTGCTGCCCAAGGCTGTGTCAACAATTTCCCTCTTTTCAAAGGTCAAAGGGAGTGAAAGCAGTTAATTCTTTGCTTTGCCTGTAAAGATTACTTCCCCTACTTGAAAGCCAGTTGTTTGGGTTAAAAAATTATGCAGTATATTTATCTGCAATATATAAAGCAGTATTTATGTATTGGTAACTTGAGTGCTGCAATGATGCAATAGCTAGCAGACTTGCCTGTGTGTTCTGTGGTCATAGGTTCCACCCCCTTCCCCTTGGAGTTTTATAAATACTGATCAAGACTCCAAATTCCATCTTCTTCGACTTCTCTTCTTAAGTTTCTTAGAGTAGAATTTAAGAGAATATTAATCCTGCCGTCCCTTTTAGGATGCAATTTTTTGTTATTTGAAGCCCTACTCTGGCTCATGCCAGGGGCCACAGTATAGCCTGGCCATAAATATGGTCTAATGGCTGAAGCGATTTCTGGGACCTCTCCACGGTGATTCTCATCCACACGGTGGCACATTGTGTCATCGGGTGTTTATCCCTTGTGTGATGTCCTGGTGGGATAGAAAGTCAGTCAGTCAATTTAAGAGAATTCTATTGAAGTGTTTCCTTTTAACAAAATAAAATAATTTAGATGAGGTGAAAGGCTTAAACCTAGTGTTCTAAACAACTGTTACCTAAAAGAAACATCTCTACCTTACAAACATACTATATTTTAGGCTTTTACCCAAATTTCAGATTAAACCTAATGGTCAAGACATGTATTATTGAAAACAAATATGAAATTCCAATTAAAAGAATACAGGCCAGTCTCCGTGTGGGTTCGGGGGCCCCATTGTGGGGAAAACAAGAATATACCGACTGCCTACCCAAAAGTATGTCGTAAAAATCTACTAATTGGGGGCTTCCTTTGAAGTCGGAGTGCATCTGCCTGAGAGGCAAGGAACCAACAGTCTGCATTCAAGCGAATCAAGATCTGCAAAACTGATACAAACGCAACACTCAGGTTCTGGAGCAGGACTGCAGTCTAGAAGTAGACGAACAACCGGAACTTTCCGCCAGAGTGTACAGCTGGTGAACACGAAGAAAAAGAAGATACAGGCCAGTGGTAAATAAAATACCTGTACACGTCACGTGCCGATTGGGTGACTGGGTAGTAACCAGAAGCAGTTAGATGAAATAAATAAACACTCACCCTCACTTTACCTTGCTGAGAAGAGTCAAGTGCCAACTATGAAGGTGCTGAGATAGAAGGAGGTGCTATTGTTTTGAAAAAAAGTGGCTTTCCAATAAAACTTCAGGAATCTTACATTCTTGTGTTTTTTTTTTCCTTTCTGCACCTTCTGCTAGCCTATGGGACACGCTTGGGCAAGGTGGAGTACCTTTTTAGACCCCCCTCCACCCCTGCTCCCCCACCCCATCAGGATATGATGAAACCATGGAAGCAGTTTGTGGACTGGACTAGACAGCAGCGGATAGATAGTTGTTGGTCATGGTCTCAAGCTTCCTGACGGTAGGCAGGGGATCACGCTATACTGACTGACAATGGCTTAGGTCACCTGACCATTATGGTCACTGCCAAGAAGGAAAGCAATGGCAAAATACCTTCTTCAAGATGCCAAGAATAGTCCTGATTTCAATTTTCTGAGAAGAAATGGGCTTAGAATTGGGAACAACTGGCAAGATTGATGGGAAGAGAGCAAGAGGAAGGCAAAGAGATAAATACATGAATGCCCTGGACACATGGACGGGGCTGGATTAAAAACATTGACCTGATCCATGATTCTGGTGATCGTGTGAGTTGGCGAAACATGACAGCTACGCTTACTGGCATGGCACATGACAACAATGATGGTACAATTCGAGAAAATAATAGCTTATGGACATCTTCTCTCAGAAACTGAAATACCTTAGCCACACTAAGCAGCCTAGTGGATTAGGAAAAAAATAACAGTATTGGATAGCATAGTGTCTGGAAAAAGGTGGCAGGGATTGACCAGCATAAAGATGGACACAGGACGATGGAGACAATTTTGGCATGAAAATATATCCACCAGTGAAAATGACATGAGACAGAGATTCTTACTGCGATGGGAGTAATATCTTTTAAAATGATAATATAAGTAAATAATATAAGTATAAATATATTTTGTATTTATATTTTATGTAGCTTAAAAGTTATGTACATTTTTATGCCCCAGTAGAGTAGCATTTGTATGTTTTAAATTTGTGAAAGTTTTAAAAAAACATAATTCTTAATTCTTTTCCAGAAAGAATATCTGTCTAAAAACTGAAATTAAAAAAAAAATGCAGGATATGACAAAAGTGTATATAGTGATGCATTACAATAAATGGGTGTTTAAGTGAGCAATACTTACCATTTTCATGTGAAAATGTTACAAGTTATGTTTTTATATGATGTTTTACCATGTATTTTTAATTTATATTTGCAATATGCAATAAATACAAATTGCAAAAGAGTCTTATCAGTACATCTTATGCCAGTTGTCTGTGAAATATTTCATGTTTGCTGAAAATGATTCAATAAATACCTTCAGACATTGACATGATTTTTTTCCAGAGAAGCAGATGATAAGACGAAGCGGACCCAAGGAGATGTGAGCAAGCGCCTCGGCGAGCGTGTTCGAGACATCAACTTCTGGAAGAACGAACTGAATAATGAGACTGACAACATGTTAACAGAAACTAATGAATTACTTGAAGTAAGTTGCAATGTATGGGAGGTGAAGAAAAGACACTGGTGATTGATAGGACACGTTTTGAGAAAACCTGAGAACAGTATTAGAGCTTTACACTGGAACCCACATGGGCATAGAAATAAGGGCAGGCCAAAAATCACAAAGAAATTAGAAAGTGGAGCTACAAATACCACACACACAAAAACAAAAACAAAATTGGGAGGACATGGGCATGATGTGGGCAATAGCAAAGGACATGAGCTGGTTGAGACCTGGGTTCCATTTGGGAATAAAGGGCAGATGTATAAGTTATAGATAAAAATGATATTAATATGTGTCCTATGTTTTGTGTGAGTCATGGTGTGTATTTTAGACATCTATTTTAGACAAATCAAAATTAAAATGTTGAGAGCATGCATCTTCCCGGTAGCAACATATGGATATGAATCGTAGACTACCACCCAGTCCTTAAGAAAAAAAAGGGGGGGTCTTTTGAGCTGAAATGCTTTAGATTCTCATGATACCATGGACAAAAAAAGAGAAGAAATGCTGACATTTTAGAAGATCTGAATATCAAAGAAGATTGGCTAATAAACAGCATCTTGTCTCAAAAGATGAAATATTTTGTTCATATTAAGCACCATGGCAAATTGGAGAAAAAAAACATCAGAAGGCATGGTACCAGAAAGGAGATCAGGGGCCGACCAAGACGAAGATGGGTACATGATATAAGTGACTCCTTAACTACAAAAGTACACGAGGTGGGAGAGCAGGCAAAGGACCTACTACATGATGATGATGAGCTTGTAATATACAAGTTATGCAAAATAATGTTTTCCTGTGGTGAATTTAAATAAAGCGGGCACAAACAATACACAGAACAATTTATTGCCTCAAATATTTAGCTGTAGTTTGTCAGGTGTATTACTGCACAGTTATAAAAACATATAATGAAGCACAAAACATTATTCTATTCAAGTAAAATACACAAATCACATTGTCTCTTGTAACACTGTATATCCTACCAAAGATGTAATCATGCAGGAAGCGAGAGCTTCCAACATAAATATGAAAACACCTCTTCTTCTTCTTCTTTGCATTCAGCAGCTGTAAACTCTGGCAGAAAGTTCTCCATTTTACTCTTGTTCCAGAACTTGACAGTTTTGCATGCACACCAGTTTAACAGATCAGGAATATTTGTAAGCAGACTCATAATTCCCCACGTCTCTGACTTTGAAGAAACAGCCTTTATTGGTTTGATTTTATGAATTGCTTGTTAGGGAAAGGCAGTGGGTCTATGTTTTTTTTTTTTCTTCTCAAAATGGGTCCCTGGAACCCACACAGGAAATGAAAACACCAGAAATGAGAAGGAGACCTAGAAGGAGAAGGACTGAGGTAATCACTGACAGCCTTCCAATTCACAACATCACAGCAAACCAAGCAATCAACCAGGCCCTAGCTCAGCTATCTGTTATCTGTTTTTTTTTTTTAAACTTATCCAGAAACCATGAGTTGTAAGCCCTTTGGCTCTTTACTATGGATATCGCAACCCTTCAGCATTGATTCCATTATAGGTACCGTTAATCTGGGAGAAATGTGGCTTTTCTGCCTACCCCCGGGAGTGAACCCAGACCACAAGGAGTTTGTCACCCGGCCGCCGCAAAAGTCAGGTTTAACCAACTCCAGTCTGGAAAACTACCAGAATTACAAACTCAGCTGTCAGTGTAGAGTCATGATACAGTGGTTACAGCCCCATTGTAGAGTGCCCAGAAGTTAGAGAGCTGGTTAGTTGGCAGGGGAAGGTGCAACAAAATAACAGCTGAATGTACCAGTGATACTCTACCAAAAGAAAGGACATTAAATCAGTCAGAGAACCACCAAACCCAGAACAAGATGACTAATTTATCATGGCTAGATCAGAACAAGTCAATCAGAACAAGTCATTATTCCTTCACCTATGAACAGGGCGCAGCAGACTACGCAGCCACATGTATATGAAATTTAAGAAGGTGTAACAGCCATGTTCTCATGTGGAGCATCCCCCCTCCTCAGACAGCAGAACACATACTCCAAGACCACACCAAATACAACCTATTAATGCAAATCTTCTTTCCAGAAAGAACGACAGTTGAAAGTAAACTATATGGACCAGTAAAGGAACTAAGAACAACAATGAAATTATATGAGACAAAATAGCTGATACAGACAACTTGTTTTAGGCGAATGAAAGAAGAAGAAGTTACGTTAGTTTATTATTTAAATTTGTTATTATTTTAAAGTAACAGTTACTTCAGGCAGTCACAGACACTCGCCGGATTGGAAGGTCATGGGTTCGGGTCCTGTCGCAGTCGGACTTGTCCAAAAATGACCTTGGCTGCCAGGTCGACCTAGCTTTGAGTGGGTACCAGGTTCAGTCCTTGGAAGTAAAGGTGGCTGGTGTAGTGCTGGCCACATCACCCACAAAGTGCTGATTTGTCTGTAAAATATAGGGCTAGCCCTATGTACCCAATACAGCTGAATGCATCAAAAAGGGTCCTTTAATTTTTATTTTTATTTTTTGTAACTAACTATTTCAGATAGAAATAGTTAAAGTAGCACTTGCTAGGGGGTGAAAGAAGTTAGAGCATTCACAACCGACCAACAACCACTGCAATAATTGTTATTCCTCTATCTGGGGCTGTGTTGTAAACTTTATTTGGGCTGCTTAGGCCAAGAGATTGTTGGAAAAGTGTTTGGCTGAAACTGAGAACCCGCTTCACATTGCCCAAGAATGTTTGTACCACAGAGAGAAGCGTCAGTCCATTGACCTTGTCCACGACAACCCAGAAAAGGAGCTGATTAAGGTACGGTTTTATGCATTATGCCATTTTTAATAATTGTTTAAAGGATATCTTTGAGTGGATATTTTGTTATTGTGTGTATGTGTGTTTTGTTTAAAGTTAGTTGTACATCTTTTACTGGACATTGTGGGACCAATCTCAGTATCTTCTGGCTGTTTGTGATTTTACAATGTCATTTTATATTCAGTAGTTTGTCATTGCTTTCCAAATGGTTAGTGCTCCAATCATCTATTGAAATTAATGCAATGCAGTATGCTGTCAAGTTGCCCACAGCTGAAAATGAACGTTGAATTATGAAGCTTGTTCATGGTTCCTAGGCCACAGACGACTAATACAAAATAATAAACATAGTCCCATAATCAAGGTTTTTTTTTTTCTGGAAAGGGTGCCGGTACTCAAACAGAATTCTAATAAAGGGTACCAACGACCACAGAGTATATATTTGGTAACAAAAATGTTGCCTTAAAAAAGGGTGCCAGCCGTGTGTACTGTTGCTGACCATCAGGAAGAAAAAGCCCTGCCCGTAACAGAATCTGTCATTGGGATGTTAAGTGTTAGGCCACAGCATATGAGATATGGTGGCCAGTTCCTTTCCCTAATACCTTTTATTCCTAGAAAATTTGGAATTCTCTTCTTCTGCCTTCTGTCCTCAAATGGAGCATAGGCCTTTAACAAACTTCACCAAGTCATTCTGTGCTTTGCTCATGCATGCAGCTTTTCCCATGTTCTCCCCATCTTATTTAAATATATTTAACTTATCTCTTGCATCTGATTCTGTGAGTGGGATGGAAGAGGAATATCATCCGCAAAGTCCAATTCATCAAGCTGTTTTGTAGGGGTCCGCCGAATACCAGATCCTGGTATTTGCAGTTGCTGTCTTAATAATCCAGTTGCTGTCTTCATAACCCAGCTGCTGTCTTTATAATCCAGATGCTGTCTTTATAATCCAGTTGCTGTCTTCATAATCCAGTCTATTTACAGTAGCAATAGGAGAGGCAACAAAAAGCATCTCTATTGCACCTGTTTTTATGTCAAATGCATCTGTTAGCTTTCCTTTATGAAGAATATATTCTTCTTTGGCTACCTGTATAGTGTTCATGTTTGGCGACACCTCCTTTGACCTAAAGTTCTTGTAGTCTTTTGGGTTTTGGCGATTCAGTGTCATCTCCTGAATCATCTTCTTGTCCTGCCTGCCTGAGAGCATTGAGAATGTCGACCCAGTTCATTGTTTTTCCTGTAGCTACCCTGGCCCTGCCAGCAAGCCAATCCGCTCATTCATTTCCTCTTACCCCAGCGGGTCCTGGCGCAAAAATAAAACTTATTCCTATCAGATAAGATTTCTTCAGCAAAATTATTGCACAGGTAAAAAAAAAAGTTGGAAATCAAAAAGAGTAGCCTAACGGTGCTGCCTGGGCTAAAATTTGGAGTTAAAAATCTACCCAAAGTATTTCAGGATCCTTGCCGGTGCTACAGAGCTTGGGCACTGTGCTGAGATTCTCCTTCTGACTCAGGCTTGAGTTTGAAGTAGAACGGAGCACTTATGAGTTACTACCTTTGTGCCATGATGTTGATTTGTTGTATAAACCTAAACCTTCATGAAGAATTCGACAATTGGTCATTTCCTGGGGCCTAAAAAGCATCAGTGCCGGGTGATACATGCAATGACTCTGAGACTTCTACCACTGTGGCTTGTGGGAAAATAAAAAGCTTTTAAAAGCTATTTAGCTTAGAGGACACCTCCCCCCCCCTCCCCCCCCCCCCCCCCCTTTTCCCACTTGGAATTTTTAGTTAATGTATTCATATTCTGACCTCCTAAACATTCGCGCAGTTGCAAAACAGCCAGTAGCATTAACTATAATCAAACCAGACCAGAAGTGTCACTTTTGAGACATCTCTGGGTGAAAGGGTTTCATTTTTACTTTTTTGTGTGGTCCTAATGGGTTAATATCACTGTTACAGTCAGCACCAGGCATTGTCTTCACATTTTTTAAAGCATTTCAATTCTTCCAAGTATATAATACATCTTTTCATGTATCATCTTCAACATCAGGGTTATTCAACTAAGCTTACTCAGGGGCTACAATTTTGAAAATGACGACCGTCACATTCCCTACATAGAAAGATCAATAATACAATACAACAGGCAGTGATCTACGGGCCACTTGCTAGTCCTCTGTGGGCCGCCAGTTGAAAAGCCCTGTCATCTGATATGAGATTCTACCTTTCTCCTTTTTTTAATACTCATGGAGAACTTTGTTTGCTCAAATATAACAGGAAATAGACATCATCAAGAGATGCCAGGACAGGATGAGAAATACCATTGACAGAGCCAATTTGCAGCTAAAGTAGGCAGCCATTTAAAAAATTTTATTAACTTGATAATTATCTGGTATCAGAAGTGTTAACTTGTTAATAATCTGGGTTTTTTATTTTATATGTAAAATCTGCCAATACTAAACAGTTAATGTGTTGTGTGGCACTGCAGGCTGATTCATTTTAATGATAAAATGAAATAATGAATATTTACCATTCTACTGTTTAGGATGCTTATTACCATTCTACATAAATACAGATAAATAATAAGATTAATTCCTCCCCCCCCCCCCCCCCCCCCCACCAAACTTTTCACCTCCTTTTCAAATTGCTGATAGACTGGCAGGTGCTGCATTAATTGAAGATGGCCGGCCTATGGTTCTTTCAAACATTGTCATTGCCCTTAGAGAGATAGGACGTTATGTGGATTTTGGAAGCATCGTGTCCATATCACAGCTAAGAATACAAGAATTGGGAGTAAAGATCGGCACAATCAAGCATGTGAAGCACACCGGGCACACAAAAAGTCTTGTTAACCAACATAGGACTGACACTATTAATCATGTGACGCTGATGAATATGTTGAGAGGGGAATCTGAGCATCTGTTGATGTGTTCGGAGTGCTATGAAGATAATCTAACTCATAACTCCCATTTATCAAAAGTGTCTATAATGAGATGCAGTTATGCAAATCCAGCACTGGGTTAGTTAGTTCTCCTCTTACAACATAAGACAGTCCTAATCAGCACAAAGAAACATCTATTGTAAAGAACATTTATACCCTCTCTATGCTGTCAGTGTCAGACATGGACACTCACATACCCTCTCTATGCTGTCAGTGTCAGACATGGACACTCACATACCCTCTCTATGCTGTCTGTGTCAGACATGGACACTCACATGCCCTCTCTATGCTGTCAGTGTCAGACATGGACACTCACATGCCCTCTCTATACTGTCTGTGTCAGACATGGACACTCACATGCCCTCTCTATGCTGTCAGTGTCAGACACGGACACTCACTTACCCTCTCTATGCTGTCAGTGTCAGACATGGACACTCACATGCCCTCTCTATGCTGTCTGTGTCAGACATGGACACTCACATACCCTCTCTATGCTGTCTGTGTCAGACATGGACACTCACATGCCCTCTCTATGCTGTCAGTGTCAGACATGGACACTCACATGCCCTCTCTATGCTGTCTGTGTCAGACATGGACACTCACATGCCCTCTCTATGCTGTCTGTGTCAGACATGGACACTCACATACCCTCTCTATGCTGTCAGTGTCAGACATGGACACTCACATGTCCTCTCTATGCTGTCTGTGTCAGACATGGACACTCACATGCCCTCTCTATGCTGTCAGTGTCAGACATGGATACTCACATACCCTCTCTATGCTGTCAGTGTCAGACATGGACACTCACATACCCTCTCTATGCTGTCAGTGTCAGACATGGACACTCACATACCCTCTCTATGCTGTCAGTGTCAGACATGGACACTCACATGTCCTCTCTATGCTATCAGTGTCAGACATGGACACTCACATACCCTCTCTATGCTGTCAGTGTCAGACATGGACACTCACATGCCCTCTCTATGCTATCAGTGTCAGACATGGACACTCACATGTCCTCTCTATGCTGTCTGTGTCAGACATGGACACTCACATACCCTCTATATGCTGTCTGTGTCAGACATGGACACTCACATGCCCTCTCTATGCTGTCTGTGTCAGACATGGACACTCACATGTCCTCTCTATGCTGTCTGTGTCAGACATGGACACTCACATACCCTCTCTATGCTGTCTGTGTCAGACATGGACACTCACATGCCCTCTCTATGCTGTCTGTGTCAGACATGGACACTTACATGTCCTCTCTATGCTGTCTGTGTCAGACATGGACACTCACATACCCTCTCTATTCTGTCTGTGTCAGACATGGACACTCACATACCCTCTCTATTCTGTCTGTGTCAGACATGGACACTCACATGCCCTCTCTATGCTGTCTGTGTCAGACATGGACACTCACATCAAACCAGAAAAAATAACATTTAATAACCGCTGCTATTAGATGTCTGAGAAAGTCTGCAGCAGTGACTAGAAGAGACAGAATAATGAATGAAGTCATAAGACAAAGTTGACACAGAACCATTACTTTATTACATTATTAAGTAAAGTAAAGTAAAGGACCCTTTTCCACACCCTTCAGGCGTATTGGGTATATAGGGCTAGACTTATATTTTATAGACCAACCGCACAAGATGGGTGATGTGGTCAGCATCACGCCAGCCATCTTTACTTCCCAGGACTGTACCTGGTACCCACTCAAGGCTGAGTCAACCTGCGAGCCAAGGCCGTTAGGCCATATTTAGGCCCGGCTATATTTAGGGTTCCCGGCAAAAGCCAAGGGTGTGGCTTCAAAATAACTAAAAATTGCATCCCACATGGGGACGTTGCTGCTTTGGAATATCCTACTTCATGTAGAGATGTCACTGCATTAACTTACATTTTTAAATTTTGAATTTTTGCATTTAAATTTTCTTTATTGTTCACAGTTTTTATGTAAACATCTGTCAATCTAGATATTTTTTGTTTTATTATATACAATATTTCTTTCAAAGCTTACATGTAATTAATGTAAGCAATTGTTTGTCTAGTCTTAATCGTGCAGCACAGCATGAACTGGAAAAAGACTCCAATGATAAATTTTTGGCTGAGAACTTGGACACTACATGTCATGGCTTACGCAACACAAGTAGAGGGCTGTCCTTTCATGATGGTGTTCACAGAATTGACAATACGTATGTATTTTAGTTGAATAACAATTGCATTTAATTGAGGAAAAAAATATTTAGAGTAGATTATATTTTATGTTATGAGTTAATGCGGTGTCTGTGGCTTAGGCGTTGCGAGTCCGAATCATAATTCCAACTTATCGCGATTGTAACTTACTGCTGGATGTGTGGATTTTTATCGTGGTAAGGGGCATCGCAGGTCGACCCAACCTAAAATGGGTACCAGGATGGATGTCCTGGGGGAATAAAGATGGCCAGCATAATGCTGGCCAGCGTAATGCTGGCCACTTTACCCACTAAGTGCCAATTGGTCCGTAAAAATATGGGGTGCTCTTCCCATGTGCCCAATGTGCCTAAAGGTGTGAAAAGAGATCTTTACTTTTTTTAAAAATGAGTTATCATAACATTCGGAACATTTCCATAAATGCTGGAACACCATCTTCAGCAGCAAGCACAGTGTTTCAATTCTGACAGTAGTGGTAATACTCTAATTGTGTGTCCATATCACCCCTCTTCTTAGTATTGAGCATTGGTCTGATTCATTGAACACTTCTTGCTGCACCCTTCTTTTTGGACCATGATAACCTTTTTGTGCCTCTGCACTGTTTACTCACCCCTAAAGGTCCCTTAAAACATCAGACTTTTTGTGCATCAATTTATATATTATTTAATGCAGTATCAGTTTTAATATACTCCTTTCTGTTTCTTGGAACAATAAAATAATCCATTGCCTCTTTACTAAGCCAGTCACATGTATGTATGTATGTAAGTTGCACCCCACCATCACACGAGCGATAAACACCCGGTGACACAAAGTGCCACCATGCAGATGAGGATCCCTGTGGAGAGGTCCCAGAAACCCCATTCAGCCATTAGGCCATATTTATGGTCCGGCTATATTTAGGGCTCACGGCAAAAGCCAGGGTGGGTCTTCAAAATTACTCAAAATTGCATCCCACAAGGGGATGATGAGAGATAAATATAATTACAGTCACATGTTAAGGGAAAAACTGATTTAGGCAAGTTTAACCATCTGGGTGAGCCAGGATCCATTAAGCCCATGACCTCATGGCTATGGTTTCCTAGTCTGCATAACATAGAGGTAGGGTTGACATAAAAACTTAAGGCCCCCAACTCCAAATAAGGCATTCAAATGGGAACTCTCCAACAGTTTATATTTCACCTCAGCTGAAGAAGTACAGGAAGATAAATGTAGAAGAAAGCTGAAGATTGTATAGATTCTTTGACTGTACATGTAGAATTCACTATTAAAAATGTGGCTGAAATTGACCAGTTAGTGCATGGCCAAAAAAATTGACGAAAGCACTGCCTAGAAAAACAGCTCGGCATAAAGTGACTGTTGCTTTGGACTAAGGATGTCGTAATGGATAGCTGAGGAAACAGAAGCAACAGTGCCAGAACTGATCAATGAAAACTCCTGCTCATGTGATATCACTATATATATATATATACAGATGGATCTGTAGTGAGCAGATGGATTTTACTGCAAAGGAATATGGAAGTTGTTTACAAATTTTTTTTTTTTAAACATCACCTTTAACATCACAACATTTAAAAGGAGAACAGAGGTGGATGCAGTGATGACAACTATTCTTTGACTGTACAGTAGTTCTGCCCAACAAGTTATAATTATAAATGACTCGCAAAGAATGGTTTGGAAGAAAGAAACTGTTCTCTTTTGCTCAGTTATGTTATGTTATCACAATCAACATCTTTTCACACTGGGCATCCCTATGTGTGCTAGCTGAGTCCTCCGATGCAGCAGCCACTCTAAGGTACTGATTGTTCCCATGAGGATTTGGTTATAGTATCTTCTGTCCTTACCTCGAAGATGACATAGAAGCTTCACCAAGCTTAACTCCTTGGCCATGCAGTGATGTTAGCATCAGAGATTCCCCATTTCTCCCCAACCGAGTCCTGACAGCCTAGAAAAATCAGCTCTGTCTATGTGATGATATCATCTCTTTCCATGTGATGATATCAGCTCTGTCCATGTGATGATATCAGCTCTGTCAATGTGATGATATCAGCTTTGTCCAAGTGATGATATCAGCTCTGTCCATGTGATGATATCAGCTCTGCCATATGATGATATCAGCTCTGTCCATGTGATGATATCAGCTCTGTCCATGTGATGATATCAGCTCTGCCATATGATGATATCATGTCCATGATGATATCAGCTCTGTCCATGATGCTCTGTCCATGATGATATCAGCTTTGTCCAAGTGATGATATCAGCTCTGTCCATGTGATGATATCAGCTCTGCCATATGATGATATCAGCTCTGTCCATGTGATGATATCAGCTCTGTCCATGTGATGATATCAGCTCTGTCCATGTGATGATATCAGCTCTGTCCATGTGATGATATCAGCTCTGTCCATGTGATGATATCAGCTCTGTCCATGTGATGATATCAGCTTTGTCCAAGTGATGATATCAGCTCTGCCATATGATGATATCAGCTCTGTCATGTGATGATATCAGCTCTGCCATATGATGATATCAGCTTTGTCCAAGTGATGATATCAGCTCTGTCCATGTGATGATATCAGCTCTGCCATATGATGATGTCAGCTCTGTCCATGTGATGATATCAGCTCTGCCATAAAATCAAAGTGATGATAGCTCTGCCAATGATATTTGCCATATTTATGTGATGATTTTGGCTAGTTGCCATCGTTAATTTTTTGCGACTATATTTTTTTTAGCCATCGATTATTTTATTTTATTTCACTTTTACTGAAGCAGATTCAACAAAAGGAACTGCCTGTTTTATTATTAACTAATGTCCTTAAAGCATCTTTCTCTTTGTTTTTGTGGAGAATTTCTTCTGTTAGTTTCATCTAGATATAATCATTTAAAACAAATGTAGCAGCTATTTGTATTCTAACCATTATACTAAACATTTTAGTTAAATAGCTAAACAATATTTCAGAAATGTTGACACTTAAAGCATATTCTTGTTTCCAGAATCTCAGTCCCCGAGACCTGGGCCAAACATAGCAATGACAACATAGAACAGTCACAGATGGAACGCATGGCTTCAAAAAACATGAGGAATGAGATTGAGTCGGTTATCAATGCTTGTAACAATGAAATGTGGCAACAGTGGAATGTTGTTAATGTGGCCCTTAATGAGCGAATTCAGGAAACTACTGATGCCAGAAATAAGATTCAGACACATCTGTCTAAGGTAAGAATTTATGTAGTCTTTAGTGAAGAAGATTTAACTAAACCAATACTAATGCTTATATCACTTTTATAGCGTAGTCTGGTCAGTGAAAATGAGGGCTCTTTATATACCAGTGACCCACTGGGCATATCTTCTTCCTTTGTCCACTTGAAATAAATTATCTATATCTGCAGAGCTGTCTCTGGTATGAACTAAACTGTCTTTTGTAATTGACTTAATGGCCCATATAGGTTGTCTTCCACTTTTGTCTGTCTTGGCCAGAAATTTTGCCTGGAAATTTTGTATCTGGGACACTCTTTGAGGATGTGGGCTGTTGTCTCACTTGCCAGTCCACATATGCACATGATGGGTTTGAAAGTCTTAAATTTTATGTACATGCGGACTGGCACCTGAGACAACAGCTCACATCCTCCAAGACAGTCCTAAATACATCCATCATCATCTGTTTTGGTCTGCCTCTCCCTCTTCTACCGTTGAACTACCCAGTCGTTACAACTCCATAGCCTTCCCTCTCATCACATGACCAAAGAACAGTCCTTGTCTTCTCCTTAAATTATATATCGATCTGCTTTCATTAGCTTCCTTCAGGCAATCCTTGTTAGTTACTCTAGCAGTCCAAGGGATTCTTAACATACATCTGAAAAACCACATCTCTGTTGCCTCCAAGGTCTTTCTAATTTGTGCATTCACATTCCATGATTCACTACAATACAGCGATATAGGTTCTACATAACATTTTAGTACTCTCTTTAGAACATCCAAAGAGAGGGGCCTGATGCACAAGATGTTTTTTTCATTCTGTGAAATGCAGCCTTAGCCTGGCCTATTCTGCTCTTAATTCCTGACACACTTCTTCCGCCCAGATATTTGAATTTATCTACTTGGATTAACTTTTTACCTTCTATTCTAATATCACACTGGGGTGGTATTCTTTTCTTTGATATGACCATTACCTCCGTTTACTTTATATTCATGGACATATCCTTTTTGGCACTCTCCCTCACTACAATGTCCAATAAATGTTGTAGATCATTTGCATTTTCAGCTATCAGTAATGTATCCTCTGCATAACATATTTTGTTTATATTAAAACCTCCCATTGTAATTCCTTGTATATATTTTATCTCTCTCAATACCACCTCACTTTAGAGGGAGAGGAGGTTAGGTGACAAAACACAACCCTGTCTTACTCCTTGTTTGATCTGTTCATATGTGCCCATTCTGTATTCCATTTTAATAGCTGCCCTTTGCTTCCAATAAATATTCTTAATTATTCTGAGATCTTTCAGATCAGTGTTATATCTGTCAACATCTTGACAAGTTACTTGTGTTTCACCTTATCAAATGCTTTTGTGTAATCTATAAAGCATAAATGCAAGTTCTTCTGTGTTTCAGTTGATCTCTCTATCAGTGTTCTCAGGATATATACTGCATTATTTGTTCCTTTTCCCTCCACAAAACCACACTGTTCTTGACTAATTTCCATCTTTAGACTAGGTACTAGAATTGAGTAATCAGTTGATTTGTCATACCCAGGCAACAACCTGAAAGGTTTACCACCCTGAGATTTAACAAAATCACAATCCAGATGTCAGACCAACAAAACAAATCCCAGATACCCCATTCAACCTCCAAAGAAGCTCTAATTGGAGCAACCATAATGGCAATACCAGCCAGGTGTCACCTGAAGTATTATGCATGCAAGGACTAGGTACTCGAAAAATACTGCTGTGAAATAATCGTAAAGTAAGTAAAGGACCTTTTTCATGCCAGTAGTGTATCAAGCATATGGTGGTAGACTCATATTTTATAGACCAGTCAGTACTTGATGAGTGATATAGTTTTGAAGAGAACAAGTTTTGAGAAGAACTAGTTTTGAGAGAACTAGTTTTAAAGAGTACTAGTTTTGAAGAGAACTAGTTTTGAAGAGAGCTGGTTTTGAAGAGAACTAGTTTTGAGAAGAACTAGTTTTGAGAGAGCTAGTTTTGAAGAGTACTAGTTTTGAAGAGAACTAGTTTTGAAGAGAGCTGGTTTTGAAGAGAACTAGTTTTGAGAAGAACTAGTTTTGAGAGAACTAGTTTTGAAGAGAACTAGTTTTGAAGAGAACTAGTTTTGAGAAGAACTAGTTTGAGAGAACTAGTTTTGAGAGAACTAGTTTTGAGAGAACTAGTTTTGAGAACTAGTTTTGAAGAGAACTAGTTTTGAAGAGAACTCCAGTAATACAACTAAAATGCTAAAGAAATGTTTTAATGTTACTTTAGGTTCTTCAAGAAAAGTTTGAAATGGAAAAGAACATTGAGCTTATAAAGAAAGCCATCCAAGACAAAATAGCTCCAATCCAAGTGGCCCAAACAAGACTGGACATTCGTCTGAGACGACCTAATGTTGAACTGTGCCGTGATTCTGCCCAACACAGGTGAGAATTATTATACTGAATTTAAGTTATATCAACCTCCAACAAACATTTTATGCGCCGAGCAAATGCAGAACCAAGCCATATGATAATATTCCCCCCGCAACACAGGTCACTAGGGTTTAATCTTTCAAAATGCAATCCTGGAGTGGAAATTTTTCTGTTTAATTTATGAAATATTGAGAAGTATATGTTATGCAAAACATTTCCATCACTTAAGCATACTGAAATATGTTGTTTGCCTCATATTTTTAAAGACCAGTTGTGCTCAATGCATAATGTGGTCAAAATCATGTTACTTCCTAGAAAATATCCTGGCAGCCATTTTGGACTTGGTCACACTAGCATCACTGGTCAGTTGTCGGACAAGAATGATAGCCACTTTACAGTCTCATCTTCTTTAAAATATTAACATCTTTTACATTATTAATGCATTTAGCGAAAGTTGAATGTATATTTTTCTTGTGTGAGTTCCAGGGTCTCATTGCTGGGGAAAAGGGGTGGGGGGGGGGGGGGGGGATGGGGATAGAACCCCTGCCCCTCACCCCCAACTTCCTTTCCACCAATCAAACAAAGTTAGTTGGGTATCCTTTAAAGGACATTGCAGAACCAACCCAGCATTTTTCAGCTGTTGTGGTTTTTCTATGAAAATTTTATGTTTAGTAGTTTGCCATTGCTTACTGAACAGTCAGCTGTCAGTACCACTTTTGAAACCAACGCAATACAAACTGTCCGCAGCTGGGATCAAACCTGGAACTCCGGCATCATGAAGCACATTTGCAATGCCTAAGCCACAGACAAGCATGTCGTTAAAATCGACTAATTAGAAATGTTTCCTTTAAAGTCAGAGTACATCTGCCTGAGAGGCCAGGAACCTACAGTCTGCATTCAAATAAGGCAGATCTGTAAAAAAAAAAGAGGTGCGCACAAAATTCAAGTTATAAAACCATGCTAAAGTTCAGGAGTGGGCGAACAACCATAACTTTTCATTGAAGTTTGCAGCCTGTGAACACCACGAATAAGAAGAAATGTATATTTATTTAGAAATTGTTACATTGAATGAAATATCACCAGAAGGCTAACGCAGGCAACAAATACCTGAAGAAATCAGATGTGTCCTTGCTGAAAGGCACACATCACAGTGATCTATTTCCACTTCCGCAATGTTCACTTGCTACCAAAAGCCCTTGACCACATTTGGCTTGTTGCAACACCAGCCAACCTGTCTGCCTGTTCATTTCCCAACACACTTGCTTGTCCTGGAGAAAAGATCCAAAGGATCTTACGAATTACCGTTTAACCTCGTTAATACAAATTCCAAGGGACCGACATGTTTTACACAAATGTGTGCTAACTTAGGAATGAAAATAATACATCCTTGCCCGAACAAATATTTTAGAATTTTTCTTTATGTTCCTGCTATGGTTTATACAAGGGATCAACATCATGGCACAAGGGTAGTAACCCATAAGTGCCCCGTTCTGCTTCGAACTCAAGCCTGAGTCTGAAGAATCTCAGCACAGTTCATGAACTCTGTAGCACCAGTGGGGATCAGGAAATACTTTGGGTAGATTTTCAACTCCAAATTTTGCCCGGTCAGCGCCATTAGGCTATTAAACTCCCTTGCGTTCACCAGCTGTCAACTCTGACAGAAAGTTCTAGATGTTCATCTACCTCCAGACTTTAATCTTCTTCCAGAACCTGAGCCCTATGTGCACATCCATTTTACAGATCTGGCTTATTTGTATGCAGTCTGTTGGTTCCTTGCCTCTCAGGCAGATGCACTCTGACCTCAAAGGATGCTCCCCAATTAGTCGACTCCTACGACATGCTTGCTGGGAATGCAGTGGATCTATTTTTTTGTTTTCCCCACAGTAGGGGCCCACAACCCACAGAGGGAAATGATTTTTGTTCATGTTAACTGAGTGTTCTTCTTAAAGCAAGTTTTTGTTAACAATGTTTTACTGCACAGGAAAATGCAATGGCTCCTAAGTTATTTATATTTTCTTTTCAGGTTGGTTGAGGAGGTGGTGGAGATCACAGAGACTATGGAGAGCCTGCAGCACAGACTACGAGAAGCTGAGAACGCCTTGCAAGCCTTGCTCCGTACAAAAGCTGCTCTGGAGCAGGACTTGGGCATAAAAAACAACAGCTTGTTTATTGATCGTGACAAATGTCTTGCCATGAGGAAAACTTTTCCTATGGCTCCTAGAATCATCTGTATATAATCACAGATGGAATTATTGTAGATGATCAGTACTGTATGTGCCATATTTTTTTAACGTTTTTGAATTTCTATGAAAAAATCATTATTAATAATAGTTTTTTTTTTTCATGTTATGTTTACATAAAGTCCAGCAAATAGCTTATCCACAGTTCAGCAACAGGAATAAAAACCTGTCTTCTACTGCTAAATTATACAGTTTACCAAAGAAAACAAAACTGTCTCTCCTACTGCTATAAGATAAGAAGAAACTCCACAGGGGAGCATGTACAGCAGGGGTCTACCAATCGTCAGTAGAAGTATCCTCTCGTCGACAAATGTTTCGGCCCATGAGCTCCTAGACATTTTCAGAGAGTGGGCCCACCTGAGTTCATGAAGCTCAGGGTTGGTTTCCCCTGCTGCACGAATTACGTGATGTTGTTCAGATAGGGACAAGACAAATTGGTGATTTTGCAGAAGGTACTGTGAGATAAGAAGTCGTCGCGGTAGCATAATTAAATCAGACTGCATGTTGGACTTTGTTAGCAGGTGGCAGAGGGACACTGTCAGACAATTCGGACACGATGGACTTTTAAGGGATGAGAAATTCTTCTCCGCTACACACCTGGACCAGGTCACCGAGGCCCGTCCCCTACGTTGTTTCATTGTGTCCAGAGCCAGCTCGAGGCCCTCTCCAGCAACCTTGCCCAGCTGTTTAAGTGTCTGTTTGCGTTCATTACCACGTAAGCCTAGTTCTTTAATCACATTGTAGAGTGAAGTGGAAACGAGACCTCTCGCTCCCACTTCGACGGCGAAGACTCTTACTGTGTACGCTTCATCTCTCCTCAGACCGGCTGCTAAGTCACTGTACTTCTCGAGCTTGTACATATGGCTTTCATCCATTCGCGACTCATATGAGATGGTCAGCTCAACCAGGATGAGCTGCAATTTCTCCACAGAGTGGAGAACTATGTCAGGTCGCAGACCGACTTCTGGATTAACTCAGGGTACTTTTCATGGCCAGGCAGGTCAATCGCCAGTAACCAGTCCCTCGCAGAGTCTAGCATTGATGGAGCGAATGCGCCTTTGTTGAATTTACCTTTTTGAATCTGCCCAGCCTTGAGAAAGCGTATGGGGACGATGGTAGGACTGGCCCTCGCATTGGCCCTCATCCTAGCCTGGTCCACAACAGCTGCCAACTCTTTTAGCACCTTGTTGTTGCGCTAGGTATATCGGCCTTGACCTAGGGCTTTCCTGCATGTGGACAGTATGTGTTCTAACGTCTGCTAAATTATACAGTTTGCCAAAGAAAGAAAAACCTGGATCTCCTACTGCTTAACTATACACCATTTGGCAAAAGAAAGAAAAGCTGTCTGCTTCTTCTAAATTATACGCAATCCAATAAAAGAAAGAATGCCTTGTCTCCTACTGCTAAATTCTACAGTTTGTCAAAGAAAGAAAAACCTGTCTCTTCTACTGCTAAACTATACACAATTTGGCAAAAGAAAGAAAACCTGTCTGCTTCTTCTAAATTATACGCAGTCCAGTAAAAGAAAGAAAACCTTGTCTCCTACTGCTAAATTATACAAAGTTTTAGGGTGGCGTAGAGCAAAGAGAACAGTTTTTTTCTTTCGTCAGGACTTGGTACCACATGGCTAATTCATTCACCATGAATGGTGCAAGTGAGATGGATCATCTATGTTAATGCTTGGGATGCTGTAATATTGATTCTTAAAATAGCAACCAATAATATGTGCAGGTAAAAAATTTTATTTTTGCCCTGACAGAAAAAAAAATCTTATCACTTTATCAATGATTCCAACTTGTGTCTCCCAAATAAAAGCTCAGTGTGTAAACAAATCCACCACACATCCTTAGCACTGGACATTCAGTTGATATTTCCAGGCATTATTTCACCCTAATAACAAGTATCATCTAGACACTAATGGAACTGCTTTGAGTATATCTCTTGTAATTGTAGAGGTCAGAAAGTAATTTGTATCATGAGTTAGTGTCTGTAGAAAACTATGTATTGCAATTGTTCAAGAGTTGTTGTGTGGGTGTTTTTTGTTTTGTTTTTTAGTGTGTACAATTTTTTTGAAGGACTCGGAACTTGCGGGTGTGCATGATTTTGGTAGTATAGTTAAAAACAAGTTTGCTCACACACTTCAAGATCACATATACATGGTGGTAATGTTAATAGAGACATCAACAAACTGTTTGATTGTATCACTTAAGTTAGTTGTGTATCCTTTACAGGACATTGCTGAACCAACCCAAGCATTTGTTGATGGTTGTGGTTTTTCTAGGCTAATTTTAGGCTTGGTGGGTTGTCATTGCCTTCTGAACAGTCAGCGCATAATACCACTGTCAAAACCAATAAAGGCAAACTATTTAATTAGCTGGGATTGAACCTGGCACACCGGCATTACAAAGCACATTCGCAACACTAAGCTACAGACGTGGACTATTGTATCACTACTCTGTAGGTTTGGTTATTTATTGAAACTGTTTACTGGTAATTTTATAATCACGTATTATAAACTAAGTCTTTTTGGTGCATAAAGAAATATAAACCTGAAAATAACCTGAAACTGGAAATTTAAGATACTGACATTTAACATAACAAACTGAAGTTAACAGACGTATCTCTGAATTTAAAAAAAAAAAGAGGGGGGGGGGGTAGGGGAGGGGGAATGTAATAGTGATTAAATCATGATTTCAACCTTTCAGGGTTATAACTGATTATTTTATCAACTGATAATCACTTTATTTTCACTTTAGGCACGTTAACACCTAGAGTACTGAGCTGCCAACACAGTTTCAGCTCTAATCCTAGGGGATTGAACTGCCAACAAAGTTTTATCTAAAACCCTCCAGTTATGGCCCCTGGCATTCCCCTGGCGTATTTATTCTCCTGTCCCACATGTCTCATCAGTCTACTGGCAACTCATCCACCTGGCTGCTTGCAGATACTAAGCAAAGTGATTTTGTGTATGCGCTGATGAAGGCTCCATAGCTGCAACGCTCACGTTTTGTTTGTGTTTCTTACATTGTGAAGCTTGCAAATATACTTTCATTGGGTTTTATTTCTTTTTTTGAGGGTTATAACTGAGTTACTTAGTTTTTGTCTATTCTGATCTTGGATATTTATGTTTATCATATAGTTTAGCTAGTTAGTATTCCCTATTTTATTTATTGATTAAAACAAATTATAAGATCATAGATAATAAGAATAATATATCATAAGTATATTTTGTAAAGGATGCTGACATAGTGATGTGGTTACATGCTCGCTTTAAACAGTAGCCTAAGAATCAAGAGACTTTTTTTCCAAAATGACCTTGGCTGCCAGGTCAGTCCAGCCTTAAATGGGTACCAGGGATGTCCTGGGAAGTAAACCACATCACCCACCGAATGCTAATTAATCTATCAAATTAAGATCTAGCCCTATGTGTTCAATACACTTGAAGGCATGGAAAAGGGTCCTATACTTTACTTTTACCTTATATTTTAAACAGCTGGGATGATTAGATTGTGTTATGTATCTTTGGAAATATTTAAAAAAAAGGTAATATTTGATTTTAAAGAGTCCAGCGGTGTTTGTATTTTTGTAAAATGATTCAGTATCAAGTTAAGAACATTTCATGTGTTCATTGACTGTTGCATGTGTCATTTACATGGTTTTGGAGAATACAGGCAACAAATACCAGAAGAAGCCGGATGTCTTGACTGAAAGGCATAAACAGGACAGCTTTGCTATAAATTGACACAATCGGATTGCATCCTCATATGATGAAGAGAAGGAAGAAGAAGGATTGTATTCGGAGCCTACATAGTGCTCTCAGTTTCCTAAACAGTAGCCTAAGAATCAAGAGAAATGATTTGTTAATCTTAGTTAATGCATGGACAAGGATAATGAAAATAAAAATAAAAACTGCTGACTGTTGAATTAGAGTTAAGAAAATTTCTGTATACATAAAAAAAAGTATTTATAAATGCAGCTTATGTTTTTTATGCACATTGAACATGTCACACAAGAGCAATATTCTGTAATTTAATTTCCTTCTTTGTACTTCTAAGATGTAAATTTTGGTGGTTTCTTATGCAGTATTATTATACATGTAACTTTATTACACACCTAATTGTATCTCTTTTTTTTTTTTTTTTACTGTAATCCTTCCTCTAGTCTGTCAGTAAATGTTTTTAATGATTTAATTTATGACAGCAGATAATAATTTATCAATAAATTTTTTTTTTTTTATTTCAATTTCACATTCATTTTATGTTTATATATGTTTAGCACATATCTGTGAATTATAGCAAGAACTTGCATTGGCATGTAAAAAAAGTATCAATATTATTTACTCCCCCTACCATAACCGCCCCCCACCTTTAAAATAAATCTTTTTCTTATTCTTCATAGTGTTCACTGACTGTTTGTCCAGGCAACTCTATATTGAAAATACACCAGCTGTGGCCAATTTTTGTTCCCCATGGCAAAATCTAGAATTACCAACCTGATCTCAAGACATTTAGAAAAATCAAAAGCACTCATAAAATATACTATTAGATTTCCTTGTAATACTGTCTTTTTATGGAATTATCTAAGATTATAATCCCTCATTATTCCTTTGGCCAGACACATTCACCTACTAAAGTCCTAAATATTCCTTAATGTGTCTGTTCAGAAAAAAAAAAAACAGTTGTCACCTTATATTTCATTATCAAAGTCTGGTGACAGACACCGACAGCATCTGAGTTTGTTGGCAACATGTTTCATTAGCAAAATCATAGATTTGGTGACATCAGTTTTTGTTTACCACTGTTTAGGTTATCACTTTTGGGGATTTTGAAATATGGAGTTTTTTCTTTTGCATACGAAAAGTTTTTGTGTTCTGTTATTAATCTTGCTCAAGGGCAAGATTATATAGTAATTTTACACCAGTATTGCAGGCCAGAAAAAAATTGCTCGGCGAGCCAGTTTTTGTTCACTGGCCATAGTTTGCCGAACCCTGCAATACA